GGTCCTCTTTGGGTTCCTCTTGTTTGGAATTCTCATTGTTGTGTTTTATTGGCTTAGTTTGAGTGTCTCCATTGTAACTATGGAATGAAATTCAAACTCTTTATCCAAATATTTGCAGCACTGGAAAGCTGGCTCTAATGGACTTTTCTATTTTTTCTCTTCTGTTACAAACCAGTCTATTAGTTTGCTTACTGTCCCCTGAAGGCCAAGCCCTATGTGTGCAGTGGGAGGTTGTCACTAAGACAAGACTAGGTGATACTGACTCAGACAAAACCATTACCTTGCCTTGAAGACAGTAAATGCAAACAGCAAGATTAACCCTAAATAAGTTCCAAGGACCTGCTCAAGGAGCAATGATATAACTTAAGAAAAAAGTTTTTGGTGTGTGTGGGAGAAATATGTGAATAAAATCATATTTTGTCTACTCAAAACACCAGCCAAAGTTTTGTCAAACTTTGGCTGGTGTTTTGAGTAGACTCCTCTTACGTGGACTAGGGAGGAGAGAGGAAAAATTTGCAGAGTTCTTTGGGAGATCCTAAAGACAAGCCAGGTACTTCCGGTACATAGCAGTAGGTGCACACTAAATATTTATTGAGTGATTTTCTGATTGGAGAGTAAAAAATTGTCTAATGAATAACAGGCTGACTGAATGGTTTTCTGGTCTCTTATTACAATGTTTTAGAAGAAAGCACAAGAGTATGGCCTTTATATAGAATATTAGAATTGTTTTTATTCAGACTATCTTTAGGATCAACTCTAACTTTATGACATCTGCACAGACCCTTTTTCCAAATAAGGTCCCATTCACAGGTGCCTGGTGGACATATATCTTGTGAGGGACTACATTTAAACACTATACAGTGTACATTTATTGACTTATTTTCCCTAAATTCTCTTAAGCACTAATATACAGAGGAGTTGTGGGAAGTATGAAGATGGATTGTACAGAGGCTTATAGCCTAGGAAGAGAGGCAAAGCATACTCTTTTACAACTGGATAGAAAATGGTGAGTGCCATAAGAAAAGTACAGAGAAATGCAATAAGATGGGACTTTAGAGAATTGAGAGGGAGATACACCAACTCAGGTGGAGGAACAACGAGGAGAGGGGGATGCCTCAAGACAGACCCATTAATTGAATTGGATCTCAAGAGAAAGGAAGATATTGAACACGTGGGGATGAGCATTAGAGTCAGGAAAACTAACATCTTGGGGAGGCCCACAGGTGGGAAACAATGGGTGTAGACAGGCAGTGCTAAGAAATTCAGATTGCCTGGAGCACAGGTGAGTGAAAGGGAGAAATAAGAGATAAAGTTGGAGAGGTTGGCTGGGGATGAACAGAATGGGTTATGGCCAGTGAAGATTACACAGGATTTTGAACATGAGTGTGATGGAATAAAACCTCTGATTTGTGAAGATACCATTTCTATATTTCATAAATAATGATTACTAGTATTTTAACCTAAAGACATTTAAGATTAAACATATACAGAAAAAGGACTTCTTGGGGTTTTTCTTATCAGACTACAAGCCAAAACTTTGGAGAAACGAGGACCACCATAAATTCCTTCTTTGGGTTTCTTCATCGTGGTGAGTATGTACAGGAGTGAGACCAAGAGTAAACCTACTTCTTGTAAACCCTGTCTCCGAGGAAGTGGCCCTGAGGAAGATGAAAAGACATCTTCAAACATTATAAAAAACTTTATCTCCTGTTTAACCTTCTGAAATACCATTTGTCTTTCCTAAAGAAACATATTTGTTCTTCCTATAGGAGTATTTCTTCTTTTCCCTTTTTCATGCTAAGTTAGGTATTTTAGCCCCCAATTCTAACCAGTCCATTGAGTGACTCATCCCTGAGTACTCCCACCTGTATGTGCATTGGATGAGTAAATAACATCATGCCTCTTTTGCTGATATGTCTTTTGTCAGTTTAATTTGCAAGCTCCAGGAACTTAATATAAGAGAGTAAAGGAAAAGTTACTTTAACCTAAACGTTTGTAATATAGGCTGTGTATGTGAATTAAAATTAAGAGAGAGAGAGAGAGAGAGAGACTTAAGATGGGAAGATTGATCCAGGCTTGGTTAGTAGGAAAGAAAGTAGAGATGAGTAATATACTTTGGAGAGATTGCAGAAGCAGAATCATGATAATTTCATTAAAAAAAATGAGAGAGGACAGTCAACTAGTCAGTAAAGACTGAGGTTCTGAGCCTGAATGACTGGGCCTATGATGGTGCCATTAGCAGAAATAGGAAATGCATTAGGGATAAAGGTTGCAAGAACATGAAATAGTTCATGGAGCCTATTTGAAGCCTGGCAGAGAGGTTAGAGCTGGAAATGTGGATTTTAAGATTAATTGGATTGAGTGAGTCTTAAGACAGGAGGTGCAACGACAGAACCAAGGGAAGTGAAGGCAAGGAAGGAAGTGATTTGGGGCAGAAGGAGGAAAAGGGGCTTGTCAACGAGGTAATCAAAGGTAATGGGTTGACTGGGCACATGAAAACATGCTCAAAGTCACTAATTATCCGAGAGATGCAAATCAAAACAACAATGCGGTACCATCTCACACCTGTCAGAATGGCCAACATCAACAAATCAACAAACGACAGACGTTGGCGAGGTTGTGGAGAAAAGGGAACCCTCGTGCACTGCTGGTGGGAATGCAGACAGGTGCAACCACTATGGAGAACAGTGTGGAGTTTCCTCAAAAAACTGAAAATGGAACTCCCATTTGACCCAGTAATCCCACTCCTAGGAATATATCCTAAGAAACTAGAAACACCAATCAGAAAGGATATATGCACCCCTATGTTCATAGCAGCACAATCTACAATAGCTAGAATTTGGAAACAGCCTAGGTGCCCGTCAGCAGATGATTGGATCCAAAAACTTTGGTACATCTACACAATGGAATACTATGCTGCCATAAAAAAGAAGGAATTCTCATCATTTGCAGCAACCTGGATGGAAATGGAGAACATCATGCTGAGTGAAATAAGCCAGTCAATGAAAGAAAAACACTACATGACCTCACTCATTTGTGGATAATAAAGAACATTATAAACTGATGAACCAAAAGATAGATATAGAGACAGTATATCAACAAGCAGACTGTCAAATTACAGTGGGGAGGGGAGGAAGATCTGGGGGAGATAATAGATCAACTGAAGGACTTTTATACATGCACATAAGTACAACCAATGGACATAAAACTCTGGGGAGGGAGGGGATGTAAGGGAGGGAGGGAGGAGGGGCAAAAAAAATAAAAAAAATATATTAAAAAAAAAAGACTGAAGAAAGGACCTCTTTTCCACTATTTCGAATACTTAATAGCTAATTTCATAACATCACATGTACCATTTTAAGAAAGTGATGATTTAGTGGGAAATTAATGCTTTGCATTTGTATACTGTAAATATAAATGATGATTTGTTTGAAATGTGTAACTTTGATATGCAAAAGATAATAACTCACAATGTTAATATTAAATATTCCTTCAAAATAAAAAAAAAAAAAAACTCAAAAAAAAAAAAAGTAATGGGGATGGAAGAGGAATGTGCTATGTCAGAGTGTCCGAGGGGTTGAGATAAAAGAGAGGCTTTTTTATGTTGTAAAACACTGTAGAAAGGTTGAGGAGGACCTAGCACACTCCCTAAGGGCTGGCAAGAAGGTAATCCTTCTAGAAAGCAGTGGCAGGAGAGAGAAGTTCGAGAGAAGAGGCAACTGTGTTTACCACTCCTTCAAGGAATCTTGTGGTGAAGGGAAAAAGGAACAAAATACCAATGGCTTAAGGATTATCTGAGTTTCTTCCCCACTTTGGAATTTTTAGTGATTCCCCAAATTGAAAATATCAACTCAGTTCTAGCTATCTCTTTATGATAGCCATGACAGAACCAAGTTCTTGTGGGGGCACTAGAAAAACTATTAAGAGGCATCTTTCTTTCATTCTTTTATTCCATGTTTACATATCCACTTCTTTGTCATTAAGTCACAACATTTTATCGAAATATACAAACAACACAGATACTTAAAAATGTATAGCTAGTATTGTAATTTAACAAGACTGACTGCTATAATTAGCATGCATGTGTCTCTTGAGTGATGCCTAAAGAGAGACTTATGAATCATCAATTCATCAGTAATGGTATAAGGGACTGCTTTTTTTCTCTTGGAAGAATTTATACTTCATCTCTTTACTTGTTATAATAAATGTGAGGATGGCAATGAGTAAAATCAACTAAGAATGGACGGATGGAAAGGTTTTATTGGCAGAAGTACCATGATTCTATTTTTGTTGGACTCTAAATTTAATATCTATGTTGACAAGATTACCAGAGTAGGCATTTTATTAAAACCTTCCATATCAGTGATATGAACTCTTCCCACTTTCCATTTTCCTGTGTATTTCATGGCTAATTAGAATGATGGATTCGTAAATCTCAAGTTACAAGCTATGTTTATTTTGAAGGATTCCCTTAAAAACTTATTCAGGGCTTCTCCCCTCCCCCTACTACTCACACTTCCACAGATGTACATAGGATAAAATGGGTTAGTGATTACTTGTCTGCAGCTGAGTAAAATCCATTACTACACCAGGCAACATGCTGTTTCAGTCTTGAGACATTTGTTCTCACTTTGCTCCTTGAGTCATCAAGTATTTCATTGATCAGCAGTTTGTGCACAATGAAGAGCCATCATTTAGAGCAGAATTAAGTTTCCACATCTTTCACAGTGTGAAGAACCATCTTTCAAGTAAATAACTATGGTTAGTCATGACCTAACTTCAAGAATAGCTGTGAAAGATGAGAGGAACCAAAGGTGGTGTCATTAGTGAAGTTGAATTGGTTTGTGCTACAGATACAAAGTCAGTGAGGAGCCCAAGTCCTCAAGGCTTTATTGTTGAGTGTTTCTTTTCTTTCCCAAGTTGAAAAGGAACCCAAGAAGTGTCGCTCGAACCAATTCACAGAGAAAAGGCCAATTCCTTCGTGTGACTGAAGAGGGGATTCAGGATATTAGCATCTCCATCCCTGGGTTAATGAAAGAAAAGTTTCTGAACATGTTCTGGTCCATACTGTTGATCAGTGCTCTGTCGGCAAATGACAGCCTGGGTTTCTCATTTAAGAATTCCTTGTCGAAATTGCTGCAGTCATATGGTGATTTCTTGATCAGAGTTTAAGGAGGAAGAGGGGGGAAGAAAGGGAAGAAAATCAGCCACTAAATTAATTATCTTTACTTTTGTTATCAAGGCTAAAATCTGTGTATGACAGCATTGGTGTTAGCAGATAACTAAACTGAAATAATACAGATGATCATATGTGTTTTTTGTGGAACACCTCTAATATCTTGACTCATCAATTTAATAATAGTATAATTAAATTCATATAAAGGATTTGCATAGTAAACATTCAAATATGATCTAATGTTTCTAGCTAATAGTTTACATGAGGCAGAATTGGCCAACTTTGAAAAAAAGGTGAGCCCAAATTTGACCTCTGTCATTTTAGTCTACAGAGAATAGTGGGTAGGGGCAGGAGCTGGGGCTTGGTGAAAGGTGGGAGAAGGAAGGAATTTTTCAGATTATCTATTCCTGTTCTTTTATCAACTGCCTTCCCTGCTATTGGTTCTCCCACCTATGTTAATTTTATTATTAAACATCTTGGACTATCTTCCAAGACAACCCAGATTGGGACAGGTTCTCCTCAAGCCACCTGGTCCATTTGGTGCCCATAAAAAAGACAATGTAATAATAAACACTTATGGTGTACAATTCAGCTCTTCAAGATTATCAAAAGTCACCCTTATATACAGGAGCATAACTGAGAGTTGGGCCCCTCCCACCTTCAAGGGGACAGGCAGGCAGCTTGGGAGTAGAAGGAGAATGGCTGGTCCCATCCCCGGTGTCTCCTTACCACTTTAGGCCTGAATGGTGGGTCAATCTCCTTTCTTTCGAGCTCTTCCCAATTGATCTCCCGAAACAAAGGGTGCTGGCGGATGTCTCCCCTCACTCCCAGCCTCTGTTCAGGTTCCCTCACAAAAAGCTGAAAAGGAGCAGAAAGGAAGCAGTTACTTCTTGAAAGATGAGCTAAGTAGCCTCAGATAGAGGTAGCATTTCTTAGTGTATGAGTCACATGAATTTGACTCTATAAAGATAAAGGCCTGGCCTTTTGCCACTTGCTTTTCTAACCTTACTAGAGGATGGATCCATGAAACTAATGCAAGAGTAGGCCTTGGCAGGCCTGGCTGCCCAGCCACTGGTCGTTCTACAAGGTTGTTTCAGAAGATTGTTCCGCTGTTTGGTCTAATTAGCATATTAGCTCTTTATTATATAGGATTTTTAAAAACTTACTGTTATCAGCTGTTGACATAAAATAAACTGGTGGCAACACTTTCATTCCAACAAGCTGTCTGAATATTCTAGAGTCTGAGATTGTGCTTTCTTACTCCCTAGAAATGCAATTTTTTTTAGTTGTATAGACCTAGTTTGAAACAGCTTTATCGTGTATTATTTGCACGATTTCTGGCAAATAGTTAGTTTCCTCACCTGTAAAGTGAGTGAAGTCTCTCCTCCCAGGGCTATTCTGAGGGTTAAATGAAATAACAGCACCCCCCCCCCCCCAACACACACACATATAACACACACACACACACACACACACACACACACACACACACACATTGATTCCTGGTCTGTAAAACCCAACAACATAAAGTAAGTGATAAGTTTATTGGATTCCTTATAAGGTTGTCCTCTGGGGATTAAAGCCTTGCTATGCAGCTATAATGTAAACTAGTCCCTGACAGGTGGTTTTGGAGAAGGCAACTGATTATTGAGATTCACTCTTGAATCCTGCAAGTTTGCTGGGCGAGTAATCATTGAAATCATCTTTTGTCATCTTTGACCTGTTACATAGACATTTTCCTCTTCTGTCCCCTCTCCTGTTACTTTCCCCTCTGAGGTCAAAATGAACATTGGCCAGGACAGGAAAGAAACCTGGAAACTCTTAAAACTTAAGCAAAACATGTCAAGGGCATTAAGGAACCGGGGAGTCCAGACTTGAAACTAGAAAAGTCACATGTCTTCTTAGTGTCCGGAATAATCATCACTCTCTCTTACATCAACTAGATGTTTATTTATAAAGTAACTGCTAGTTGGAGGGTGTCATAAAGAGCATGTAGGTTTTAAACAGAACCATGGTGAAATGCAGTATTTTCCATGAGGTTCTGATAGAACTTGACTTCCACTCACACTGAATTGCCAGGATCTCTTGTTTTTACCAATTACAAGAATAGCAGTCCGTATGTTAAAGCACAGCTTTACTTGTGTTACATTACTACTTGAAAAACTTTACAGGCTCTACTCTACCAAATAAAATAAAATAAAATAAAATAAAATAAAATAAAATAAAATAAAATAAATAACAGGCTATAAAAAAGTGGAGATTTCTTCCCCCCACCCCCCCTCTCTCTCATGAGTAGAGTCTTTTGGCAATCTAAGTGAAATGCCATGCAATCACCCCTGTGCATGCAGGTGGTCAGTCCTGGGCACGGTTCTAATTTCCTTTCCTCTTGCCACATGATGGCTGCTGAGGCCTCTCAATGGAAACTTGAGTTCCAAATCATCTCAATAGAAAAACCACTACACAGTGGAAATAACATAAAACTGTCATCTGAGAAGCTTACTACCCACAAGGCCTTGGGCAAGTTTTCTGAGTCTCAGTTTTCTTATTTGTAAAATAGAGAGCGAGGCAAGATGATCTATACTCCTGTGATTCCTAATGCCCTCTGAGGCCCCTGGGCAGGCATTCCAGCTTCTCTGTAGCCAAATGCCAACACATATCCTTCAATTCCCATTAGAATTCTCTCTGCTGTTCAGATATGTCTACTTATGGAATGTGCAACCTGCCTTTCCAACTTCTGTCTTTTGCTAATGACATTTCCATCTTGCAAGAAGACACCTCTCCCCACATCCTTTTCCAATTTCCCTTTCCTCATCTTTAAGTCCTGACCCACCTTTCAGGGTTCAGCTTTTACCCCACCCCCATTCTTTGTGAAGCTTTTGTTGATCACCTCTATTTATATCCATTGTCATGTGGTTAATTAGAGTCAGGCATTGTGCTAAGTGCCTTAGCTATATTACCCTGATCTTAAAAACAGATTCTAAAAGCAGATATTGTTATATCAGCAGATATTGTTATGTGAGAAAACTGAGGCTCACAATAGCAAGTAACTTGCTCAAGATCACAGGTCCAGCCAGTGATAGAGCCTAAATTATCAACAGCCCATTCCTAGTTGTGGTGTCGGATAGTCTTCCTGTATGATTCACAGAATGTCTTCCTGCCATTAGAGGATTAGCTATACACACACACACACACACACACACACACACACACACACACACAACTTTTTTCTACTAGAGTGTTATCTCTGGAGCACAGACACCATTTATGTTTCTGTTTCTTACAGAATCAAATACAGTGCCATGCACAAAGTATATGATCAGTAAATGCTTATTGAATAAATGAGTAAGCTGTCTTTTCACTTTATTTATTTGCAAATTATGTGTCTCCAGTCCTCATCTGTTAGACTCTTGTTTTCAACATGTAGAACAGCTTATAGAAAAGGTACAAAGTTCACTGTAAAACATATTTTTCTGTAGATTTTTCATCTGGTGACTCACACCAGTGTGAGTCACCAGATGAAAAAGCAGATTGATTTTTTTTTTTTTTAAGCAGAGGGAATAAGTGACTTGGCTTTATATATCTTCCCTTGAAATGATCATAATAAATTATTGACCTCCACTTCTTAAGGACATTTTGATGAAACAAGATTAGAGAGAAGATGCAAGTGCCTTAAGGAAAGGACAAGCACTAGCTCATGTTGTTATAATTAAATGCTGCAGCGAATTAAGTTAGAAGTAACTGCCGGAGGCCACATGTGGACCATACTAGGTTTTCCACTCGATTTTTCTAGTAACATGTGGCATTTGTACCAAGAGGATCATGAGCCTGTTATATGTACCTATGAAATTGAAAAAAAGTATTTTGAAAGATAAAATGTGTAATGAAAATATAATCTGATCTCCAGTTTCAAGACTCAAAATTCTGCCCAGCTAGTGTGGTTCAGTGGGTAAGTGTTGACTTATGAAACAGGAGGTCATGGTTTGATCCCTGGTAGGGAGCATGCAAGAGGCAGCTAATCAATGCTTCTCTCTCATCATTGATGTTTCTCTCTCTCTCCCTCTTCCTCTCCCTCTCTCTCTCCCTCTCCCTCTCCTTTTCTGAAATCAATAAAATATTTTTAATAACTGTAAAAAAAACAACACAAAATTCTTTCTAGTTTTGCACACAAGAATAAATTACTATCTTTTCTGCCCTCCTCCTCCTCCCTGGTCCTGAAGATGACTGGTGACCTCACGGGTAGGCACTGGGTCTGTGGCAAGGACTTGGAATTGAGGGAATAAATGTTCATGTAATAATACTTGCTTTTGTTCATAAAAGTTGTCACATTGATAGAAGACAGCACACTGTTTACATAAATGGCCAGGATGTAGCGAGAGTTTGTTTAAATTCAGCTATTTAGGCGAGAAAGCAGTGCTGGGCTGCCAAGGATGGCCCACCCTGTGCTGAGCACCTGTCACTGGAATCTTCTCTTCCTCTTTGTCCATGCCTCAGATATATCTTTTTACAAAAGGGAGAGGCATTTCTGTTTGAGATAATTAGTTTTCCATCATTTTCCAAACAAATGGACCAGACATTCTGAATGAATAAATGGGGAAGAAAGAGGCATGTCTTTGGCAATGGTCAACTGTACTGCAGCATCCCAGCTGTAGTTCTTTATGGAGTGCAGCTTCCCCTCCCCACTGTGTGCTGTTGCTCCCTGTGCTGCATGCACCCATGTGCTATGAGGGCTAAAAGGGATAGAGTCTGGCATTGACACTGCCACTGTGACAGATGCCACTAGATGCTGCTTTGTTCAGCTTTTCCTGAAGACCTACTGCTCCTGGGCTTCACAACATTAGGTATAATTCCCTAGAGGAAGTTTCTCAGAAATATTTATTACCTTTGGTTTTTGCAAAAGAAGGAGCTCAATGTGGTGGCTGCCGGATAAAAATTATAAAAAAACTAGAAGCCAGTCTTACTGTCAGAAAATTGCATGATGGAAATTAATTTTTATCAGCCCAATTGCTAAAAGATGGGCAAGAGCTACCTTCCCCATGGAGCAAGGGCATGGCATTTTCATTAACTCCTGTGGGAAAGAATAAGCCCAAACTGTAATACATGGATTTAAATACTTTTGCAACAACAGTCCTTTTTATTTCCTTCTTTATCATTGTCTTGGTTTCTACTTTATTAAACCACATTTACTTTCTACCCTAGCTGCAAATCTTTTTCTTGCTACTGAAACTCTGCAGATTTTTTTTGTATTTGCTGGCATTTAGTCTTAGATTTTGTTTTGCTTTTAAACTTTTTATTTTGAAATAATTATGGTGTCTTAGTATGGTTGGACTACTATAACAAAATGCCATAAACTGTGTGGCTTAAAAAACAGGCATTTATTTCTCTTTAGAGGCCTGGGGCATGATATTCATGCACGTAGGGAGGTCCCTCAGCACGACCTGTGCTCTGTCCCAGTCTGGGAGCCCTCAGGGGATGTCTGACTGATGGCGTAGGCCTAAACAGGCAGTCGGGTCTCCTTAGCACTGCTGTGGTGGGAGTGGCTCCCACCACTGCCTCTGTGCTCGCCAGCTGTAAGCCCAGCATCTGGCTGAGTGGGGCTCCCTATGTGGGAGTGCATTAACCACCAGGGGGAAACACCTGCATTGAGCATCTGCCCTTGGTGGTCAGTGAGCGTCATAGTGACTGGTCGTTCCATCATTTGGTGGTTTTGCATATAAGCTTTTTATTATATAGGATAATTCTGGGGTCTGGAAGTTCAAAATCAAGGTGCCAGCATAGTCAGTTTCTGGTAAGTGCTCTCTTCCTGACTTATAGAAGGCTACCTTCTTGCTGTGTGATAACATGACCTTTCTTTGATGTATGCACTTGAGGGGGGAAGATCTCCTTTCCTCCTTTTATAAGGGCATTAATGCCATCATGGAGGTCCCTTCCCCAGCTATAGGAATTTGAATTGAAGGAATAAATGTTCATGTTATTTACTTACCTCAATGTTGTCACATACCTCTTAAAACCATCATATTGGGGGATTAGAGCTTAAACTTATGAATTGTGGGGTCACATTAAGTCTATACATATCGATTACAGGGTGTTAAAATAAAGTTTAAAAAGATGTTCTGTGTATACTTCACCTAGTTTCCCCTGATGCTTGCATCTTACATGATTATAGCACAATATCAAGACTAGGAAACAGACATTGATGCAATATGGTACAGTATATCTAGTTCTATGTCATTTTATCACAAGTGTAGAACTTGGTAACCATCACAGCAAACAAGATACAGAACTGGCCCTGACCAATTTGACTCAGTGGATAGAGTGTCAGCCTGCAGACTGAAGGGTCTCAGGTTTGATTCCAGTCAAGGGCATGTACCTTGATTGCGGGCACATCCCCAGTAGGGGTTATGCAGGAGGCAGCTGATCGATGTTTCTCTCCCATTGATGTTTCTAGCTCTCTATCTTTTCCCTTCCTCTCTGTAAAAAAAAATCATTAAAATATGTTTTTTTAAAAAATATACAGAACTGTCCTGTCAATACAAAGTTCTCCCTTGGGATATCCGTGCCTCCACTTACCCCAATACTAATCTTATTTCCATTTCTATAATGTTGCCCTTTCAAGGATGTTACATACATGGACTGATATAGTATGTAAGTTTTTGATATTGGCTTTTTTAAGTCAGCTTAATGCCCTTGAAATCCATCCAAATTATTTTGTATCTCAATAGTAGTTCATTCTTTTCTTAAAAATATTTTTTATTGATTTCAGAGAAGAAGGAAGAGGGAGAGATAGAAACATCAACGATGAGAGAGAATCATTGATTGGTTGCTTCCTGTATGCCCCTCACTGATATTGAGCCAGATTAAGTCCATCAAAAAGCCCAATGTAAAATAAATGTAGCAACTGTAATAACATTTAAACTTGTCTTAATGTAAAGAAAATTGTTTGCATTATAATCTTGCTTTTATTTTTATCATATATATTTTTTAAATTGGTTAATTTTGAAATCAGCTTTCATTTTATATGTGTTTTGTACAGTCATTAAAAGTAAATTTAATTGGTCATTTGAGGAGCTTTCTAAGTTTACTACTGTTTGGATCTCAGTCAGAAATAGTGAAAGCTGAGTTGCACTGGCTCAGACTTTTAAACACCTCAAGCCTTGGACAGGGTTGGGGACGGGGAGTATGTTATGGAACTTTTCCAGCACTTCAGATTCCACATCTGGATTCCTCAAGGAGAGCCCAGGAGTGGCCTCAACATTTCAAATACCTTAAACAAGCTGTGAGAGAGATAGAAGTGTTGCCCTTTAAATTTAATTCCCAGTAGTTCTTCACGAGGAAAAAAGTAGACTAGTGGAAAAAGATGAGCATGGTAATCTTTTTCTAAGTTTACATTTAAAATTCATTAATAACTTCTAATGTTGAAAGATCTTGTCTTATTTCCATTTTCAATATAGGAAGAACAATGCTAAAATTATTTCCTTAAATGATTTCAAAATATGTATTTTTGTTGATTTCAGAAGAGGGAGAGAGAAATAGAAACATCATTGATGAGAGAGAAGCATTGATTGGCTTCCTCCTGCATACCCCTACTGGAAATTGTGCCCACAACCCAGGCATATGCCCTTGACTGGAATTGAACTCAGGACCCCTCAGTCCGCAGGCTTACACTATCCACTGAGCCAAACCAGCTAGGGCCTAAATGATTTTTAAAAAGTTAGCTAAGATCTGAGATGCCAGAAATCAAAACACTGTTTTGTTCAAAGCACCTGTATTCTTGGTCCACTTCTTTTAGATTATGTTAGCCTCACACTGGAAGGTCTTTCTGATCTACATAGTTTTGAATAGCTCATTAAGTGTAGGTAGTTATTAATGTTATATGCAATTAGCATGTTGTATTGCCATGATTTAGTTTTAGCTTTTACAACTTGTTAGTCATACACAGTAAATAGTATCTTGTTTCCTAAAAAAAGGTGAACTGGGACTCTGTGTAAAATACAAATCTTTAATGATGGCTTTCAGGTGCTTCTTCTGTTTGTGCATTGGTTTGCCCTGGGAGCTCTTGGTTTATGGCCAGTGATTCTCTAAGTTTATATCTACAACACTGGACATTGATTCTCTTTTTTAAGTAGTTGTTTTTTAAAAAAATATTTTTTATTGATTTCTGAGGAAAAGAGAGAGGGAGAGATAGAAACATCAATGATGAGAGAGAATTATTGATTGGCTGCCTCCTGCATGCCCCATACTGGGGATCCAGCCCACAACCTGGGCATGTGCCCTGACCGGGAATTGAACCGTTCCCTCCTGGTTCATAGGTCGATGCTCAACTACTGAGCCATGCCACCTGGGTTGTCCACTGATTCTTAATTGATCCTGGGCTATCACGGATGGGGGTCTAACTCCTGTGTTGATGGTGAATTCTGAAGATTGCTTCTAAGATGGTCACAGCTTGCACACTTAAAAGTTTTAGGGTGGAAAATGCATTAATACTAGTATTTCCAGTGGACACAGGTAGGGGATGTGGCAGGGAGCTGGTCTGCCTGAGAGCTGCTCAGCAGGCACCAGCAATGAGAGTCCCAGGGAGTGGAAGTGCTGCTGAAATAGGGTTTGGTACAGGAACTGGGCTGTGGAATGCATTGAATAGCCTGCATCTCAAAAGCTTCAGCCAGAAATGTCCCCAGTGGTAGGGATTTCCAAAAATCCACTAGAAAGCATCACTGAAGTCTTGGCTTTAACAACCCACCAAACTGGGAGAGCATCAAGCCACTCAGCCAAATAAGAACAGTTCTTTCTCCTCATTATCCCTCTGCCTTCTCCCTGCTTTTAACCTGGTATGGTCTGAAATAGAAATTCCAGAGCTGGAGAGGAAGAGAACAAAGAAACACAAGTATAACCACTCTCCATTCTCCAAAGCTGAGCTGCCAGTCAGGGACTTGGGCAGAGGAGAGGGAGCAGAAGTCTTTGTTTTCGATAATAGTGATGTAAGGACTTGTGTCTTAGAACAGTTTTAATTTATCAGTTGAGATGGTGTTTTATATCTTTTACCTAAGAATGAGCGGGAAAGTCATGCATCCTGTGCAAGTTTTCCACCAGGAGTGGGGGAAGATGGACTGTATTGAATAGATTTAATAGGGACAATGGGGGGGGGGAAAGTTGAGTTTTAAGCCACAAATTGTACTTGTTCAATGGACTAATCACAGTTCCAAGTCATGGAACTGGTCCCTGGTAATTTCTTTTTGTAAATTATGCCCATAAGGGTTTATTGCTGTCTAATCTCCAGCACATTGGTGTCTCAGTTAAGATTTACACTCAGTTCAAGACAATTATTGTTTACTATCAGGTATAAATCTGAGCTTAGAAGTGAATGGGAATACTGATTAGAAAACCCCATACTAACCTTGGCTTCATTTCTTACCTTCACTAGAAGGTCCTTAGCCTCCTTCTCCAGCCATCGGGGGTAAAAGGGGTTGTCCATGCGGATGGAGTGGAAGAGCTCTTCTTCATCTTGCCCGTGGAAAGGTGACTGACCAATCAGCATTTCATAGAGGAGGACACCAAAGGACCACCAGTCAACAGAATGGTTGTATTTCTGACCCAGCAAGATCTGTGTAGCCAAAAATTAATAAAAGTAAGGTTGATGAGTGAATACCTTGTATTGGCTTTTTCAAGGCCACTCAACAAATAATTGATGGTGATGACAGTAGTATGTGGTTTAAAGAAAGATTACACTGAAAATGGGATATTTTGGGAAGCTAATGATTGGATACAAATGAGTTGGCAATCTAAAACTGAGCAAACATTTTTTGAGTTTCAATTTCTACTTTTCCTCTGGCCTTAAGTGAAATAACTAAATTATGTGTGCCAGTAGCCTTCATTTCCATCTGCTGGTATCTATCCCAGCTCTACAGTGCCTCTGAGGTGATTATCTAAACCAAACCTATGTATTCTTTTTTTAAAAAAATATATTTTATTGATTTTTTTACAGAGAAGAAGGGAGAGAGATAGAGAGCTAGAAACATCGATGAGAGAGAAACATCGACCAGCTGTCTCTTTCACACCCTCTACCGGGGATGTGCCCGCAACCAATGTACATGCCCTGACCGGAATCGAACCTGGAACCTTTCAGTCCGCAGACCGATGCTCTACCACTGAGCCAAACCGGTTTCAGCCAAACCTATGTATTCTACTGTCCTGAATCTTTGCATAAAGTTTCTATAGGTGACCAAACATCGAGAGAGGTCATCTGAACAAGTCCATTCCTTAAATTCTAACTAGTCATGGCTTACAACTAAGAGAGTAAAATTTTGTGACTATGCCAAGAAACAGACTAGGGTACCAACTTACTCAAATATAAATATAGATATTGGATGTAAGCACCATGTACACCTTGATATTGGTGCTTTGAGTAGAACTGGTCTGGTCTATTCTTAAAAGTAGTGGATTTAAAGTCTGGAATCCTATCTAATTTTAAAAAATATTTCACCAGTCCACTTTCTTGCTCAGTTTTTTTTGTACTCAGGCCTTTCAGCAGCTTCCTTTTTTAATGTTGAAACATAGAGAGTGCACATGTCACTCTACTCAGTGCTTTTCATCCCAACAAACCATGCTGTAACCTCCTCTAAAATAATACATAGGGCCCATCAGTGAGTGAATAAATAAATACAGTGTAGTCTATACACACACTAGAATATTATTCAACCTTACAAAGGAAAGAAATCCTGAGACATGATACAACATGGGTGAACCTTGAGGATATTGTGCTAAGTGAAATAAGTCAGTAACAAAGGACAAATATTGTACCATTCCACTTATATGAGGTACTTAGAGTAGTCAACGTCATAGAGACAGAAAATGGAACTATGGTTTCTAGGTGCTGGGGGAAATGGGGAATTGTTGTTTAATGGGTATAGAGTTTCAGTTGTACAAGATGAAAAAGTTCTGGAGATTAGTTGCACAACAATGTGAATGTACTTAACACTACTGATTGTACTCTTAAAAATGGTTAAGCTGGTATGCTTTATGGTACGTGTATTTTACCATAATTAAAATACATAGCACTGGCCGGTGTGGCTCAGTTGGTTGGGCATTGTTCCATGCATTGTGTGTGTGTGTGTGTGTGTGTGTGTGTGTGTGTGTGTGTGTGTGTGGTGTGCTGGTTTCATTCCCCATCAGGGCACATGCTCCGGTTGCGGGCTCAATCTCTGGTAGGGGGTGTGCAGGAGGCAGTCGATCAATGTCACATTGATGTCTCTCTCTCCCTTCCTCTCTCTCTAATTTTAAATGGGGAAGAGAACATCCTATCTTTCATGACGCAAGCTGCCGGGATGGTTTGGGGAAAGCTGCTTTATTACCCAAAGCAAAATGGAGAAGGGATACTAGTACTGAAGTACTAAATTAAAAAGCAAGACTGGGATCTTCATTTCATACTGCAATGTAAGGCTTAGCTAAGTTGTGTGAGTACATACACAAACACACAGAGGTCATTTTATTATAGCATTCCTCATTTGAAATTTAATTTCCCCCTTTGAAAATGGGCCTTTGGAATGAAAGGTAGAATTGTAGCACTGATGAGCTCAGGAAAGAAAAATGACATTATAGTTCTAGTCATCGCAGTATTTTCTAGGTCAGCTTTATGTCTTGTTGCTGGTGAACTTTTGATGCAGAAAATAATGTGCATAGCACCCGTCTCTGAGCCCTACCTGACCCCAGACAGCTGGGAGTGAGGCTCAGGAATACTGTGAAAGTGTCTCTAATATAAGACTTGCTAAACAAACAACAACAAGAAAATAGTTGTGAAGGCCATACTACACACTGCAGATTCTATTTCTGCCTTAGTCCTCTAGTTGAACATTGTGTTGTTGTGAGGCTTCATGAAAAGTAGAAAAGACAAAATGTTTTATCATGTGCAAATGACTAGATGCTACATGGTAAACATCTGTCTTGATGAACACTTGTGAAAATAAAGATCAAGTTGCAAACAGAAATTTGCGATCTGCTATTGACTTCCAGTATAAAAACGCTATCCACTAGCCTTAACTCAATGTTAAAATGCTAAATTTCACTTTATTTACACATTTAAAAAAATACATTTTTATTGATTTCAGAGAGGAAGAGAGAGGGAGAGAAGTATAGAAATACCACTGACGAGAGAGAATCATTGAGCAGCTGTCTCCTGACACCTCACACTGGGGATCTAGCCCACAACCCTGGCATATGCCCTGACCAGGAATTGAACTGTGACCTGCTGGTTTATAGGTCAATGCTCAACCACTGAGCAAGGATGGATGGGCCTAGATTTTAAAGTTAACTTAAAAATGAACTTTTTCTAAGGAGAAGTTTAAAAGTAGACTCATGAGGAATGATACGGTAAATAAAGACACGCACAATCAATTCAGTAGTTTGCCTTCAGTGGAGACCGGTTCACACGCAATTCCTAGGATGTGCCACAAGGGGGAGCCCCAAGCAATCAGAAACTGCTTGAATATCACATTTTTGTAAACAACTTCATTTGGCAGGAAAAATGAAAAGAAATTTGCAGGACAGGAGACAGCTGTGGTGGAAATTAAATCATTTAAGGCTAGATGATGTTAATAAAGAATTTCAGTCTTAAGTTATGAGGAAGAAAAATGTAGATTCATACTCAATTACATACTGTTAAAACAGAATGTCTGCAAATGCTTGCTGATCTGTGTTAGGGTTTTCCACATAGAATGTGTTTTATTTTATTTATAAGAACCTCTGAGATAGGTCCTGTTATCCCCAACAAGAGAAGTGATTGGATCGAGGGAGGTTACATGTGTTGAAAATTATGATCTGAAGTCTGATCTTTTTGTTATTTAATCCCAATATTTTAATGAAGCATAAATAGGTTTGTACTGTTAATAACTCTAATAAAATTTAGTTATTTTTTATTTTTTAAACATTTTTTATTTATTTTTTCACAGAGAGGAAGGGAGAGGGATAGAGAGCTAGAAACGTCGATGAGAGAGAAACATCGACCAGTTGCCTCTTGCACACCCCCTACTGGAGATGTGCCTGCAACCAAGGTACATGACCTTGACCGGGATCGAACCTGGGACCTTTTAGTCCGCAGACCGACACTCTATCCACTGAGCCAAACCAGTTTTGGCAAAATTTAGTTATTTAAAACTATTTCATCTCTGGTGGGCCTGAGCAGAGTGAAGATATTTTAGTTCTGGAGTGGGGAGGGGCCATGACTGAAAGGATATGCTGTATCACTCAAGACTTGGAGAGATGACCTAAGTAGCATGAGTACCATCCCTCATCCTATAAAATAAAGAGGAAATATGCTAGCTGACTGCCAAACCCTCACAAAATGGTAGCACTCAAGGCCAATAATGAGGGAATATGTTAATTGACTGTCATGCCCTCAAACATGGCAGTGCTCATAGCCACAAGATGGTGGTGCCCAGTCCCCTCAGTCCCACCAGGGCAGCAGGTGCACGGCATGGCTGGGCCCACTCCTAGGCAGGTCCAGCTGTTCCGCACTCCTGTCTCCAGAGTCTCCAGTCTCCTCAGCTCCCCTGCCTCCCAGAGCTGGCCTGAGGTACAGGCAAGGTTTGGATGGCAGCTGCCCAGCCCAGGCATCTGAGGCTCAAGTAACCAGGGCCAACTGAGGTTTGCGCTGCTGGCAGTGGTAGCAGCAGAGATGTGGTGGGGACTTTGCATTGCCCTGATCGTCAGGTAGCTTCCCTCCCCTGAGGGCTCCTGGACTGTAAGAGGGGGCAGGACGGGCTGAGGGACATCCCCCTCCAGTGCATGAATTTTCATGTATCAGGCCTCTAGTAAAATAATAACAGCAGCCCCTTACGTGCAGCCGTAATCATGCAATAATAAAAACAAAGTCCAATCCTCAACCAGAATACTTAAAGTCTTATGATTTTCAGGGAGGAAGAAGCAGTGGTGCTCGGCCTGGTTGTGCTGGGTTGGGAAGGGGCACTGCACATCCCTACCTCTGGGGCGATGTAGTCGGGGGTCCCGCAGAAAGTGTTTGTCTTGGCATCTCCTAGCATGTTCTCCTTGCACATTCCAAAGTCCGCTATCTTGATATGCCCATCTTTGTCTAGCAGGATATTATCTAGCTTCAGGTCCCTGAAAAACAAAAGCATAGCAAAACCTCGCTTCAATTATTACAATGCTGTTAGGATAGAATTGTCCTATGAGGGTGGTCTCATGACTCTAAGTAGGGCAGTCCTCTCCTGGCTGCCCCCTTTGAAATGGGGAGACTTCCCGGATTGTCAGCCTGCCCTGTAAGCACCGCAGCTCATTACTGACCATTCCCGAGGGAGAGGGTCTGGACCGGATGACACAGAGCTGCTGTCATCAACAGTCTGTATGGGCCGTCCCTGAACCCTTACAGAGAATTCCTGGTCAGGACTGTGCGATTTCCTCAGAAGAGCCCAGGAGCCCACTCTTCTGGGCCCTTTTAGTTCTCCTGCATCTTCTCTTTGTGGCAGGTTCTCAACTGCCCCTTCTCCCTGTGTGGCTGTGCTGGCCTCCAGCTTGTTGGTCGGCTTTCATCTAGCTCCTTTCTTTTTAGTTTTTACTCCCTGCTTAATTTGCAGTGAGTCAGAAAGCAGACAACTGTACTTTTGAAGATTTGTATGCTAAATAAGTGTCAATTATGTTTTGAGAAAGGAAGTAAAAGGATTGAAGTGCAGTAGCTTTCATCCAAGAAGGATGTGAAATGATGGTGTATGATGGAGAAATTTAGGACATCCGTTCACAAAAGAGGGTACACGTGATGGTCTTTGCACTTCTACAAGGTGTAGGCTTACAAGTTTCCTTAGGTGTGCTTGAGTGTTCAGGGGAGAGCTCCCCGCCTCCCCCACCCAAAAGGAGGGCATTCAGTCAACATTTCTAGGTGGCCCAAAGCAAATACAGGCAAAGACAAGAGATGCAGGAGACAGAAGTGAGAAAGCAACAAGATAGCAAAGAGAAAGAAAGCAGAGTATGGGAAGGAAATGAGAAAAATGGAGGTGAGAAGAAGAATAAGAGTAAGGACTGGAATAAAGAGCAAAATAAGGTCAGAACCTTATTGCTTTGGAGACTGGAATTCCTTACTTGGTTGCTGTTAAATCATCATCCGTGTTATCACCATGAGCAGGAAGCTGGGGTGAAACTTTGGGCCACAAAAACACCCTGGGCATTTCATGACACTGAAGCACATCGACCGCATTAACAGGATCATGAAATACAGATATTTCAGTGTGTCTGAACGGGTAACACTTACCTGTAGACAATGCCTTTGGAATGGAGGAACTGCAGACCAAGAATGATTTCAGCAGCATAAAACCTGAGGGGAGAAAAATCAGTTCACCACCAAGTTATTAACAGAACAAAATAAACCCCATTTTACCCCCTGAGTACTCTGTGCAGCTCTCTGCCTAATGTACACACACCTTTGTAGGGACACAATTTATCTGTGTACACACATCATTTTGTTTCATCTGAACAAAAGGAAGATAATATCCCCGAGAGAATGAAGCAGAGCTGGTTTCCTAAGTTAGCCCTACCTGCAGCTGGTGCTCATTCTTATATTTTGGTCGACAATACTCAAACTGTCCCTTTTTCCCCAACAAAACATACACAAACATTAAATGCAATTGTATAGTATGATAGGAAAGTAATTTTCCTTTTTATTATAAGTATATTTTTATTGATTTCAGAGAGGAAGGGAGAGGGAGAGATAGAAACATCAACGATGAGAGAGAATCATTGATGGCTGTCTCCTGCACGTCCTCCACCAGGGACATAGCCAGCATCCAGTCATATGCTGAACCGTGACCTTCTGGTTCATAGGTCGATGCTCAATCATGGTGGATAACATGGGTTTGATGGTTCTCAGGCCTTACAAAACTGGGAAGGGTGCTGGACTGAGAGGATCCTCTCCAGCACGAAAAATGCCTGATGGTTTCTCTGCAGTGGCTATCCCTTACAATGATCTCTGGGCAGTGTGCTGATGGCTCCTGGAGGCCACGAGATCAGTGGTGTGAATCTCAGCAAGGCTTCTGCAGGAGCCGGGAATAAGTCCATATATAAATCCGGCTCACACACCACTGCTCAAAGCACTCATTAGGAGCCAGTGAAAGATTATTGAAGAAACACAAGCAGTCTGCCTGGCCGGCATGGCTCAGTGGTTGAACATCCACCTATGAACCAGGAAGTCATGGTTCGATTCCCAGTCAGGGCACATGCCCAGGTTGTGGGCTCCATCCCCAGTCAGGAGGCAGCCGATCAATGATTCTCTTTTATCATTGATATTTCTAGCTCCTTTCTTCCTCTCCCTCCCTCTCTGAAATAAATAAAAATATGTTTAAAAAAAAAGAAGAGAAATAAGTCTGTATCCAGCATTTGAAAATGGGCCTGGTGACACTATTAAAAAAATGGCTCAGTGGTTTGACCATTCAGGAAAGAGGGACCATGGGGGCCGGGGGAGGGGTGGGAGTGGAAGGGGATCCTCAGCTGCAGTCCCCATGGGTGTAGGCAACCTGTTTGACTTGCTTTCATTGAGGGCTGCCCATGAAGGTGAAGGTTTATTCTCAGACTAAGGGCCCCTCCCGGTTTCTGAATTCTCATGCTCAGAGCCCCATGTTTTATGGCTTCGCATTGACCTTTCCATGAAAGGCCTCAGCTGAAGCTTCATCCTGTGGTGCCTTTACAAGCTGTGCTCCACTGGATTGCTTCCCCCGCACCCCCCCCAAAGGTCAGATGTTTTTTTCCATGCTCACATCATCTAGAAACCTGAGGAATTGGGCTTTGAAAACACAGTTGATTTCAAAACACAGAGAAATGAAACAACACTGACAAGAATGTAAGCTTCACAAACTAGGAACATGGTTGCCTGGTATGATATATTCTTGGGGGTAACTTGTCCTGGGAGTTAAGTGTGCTGGGTGAAGAAACAAAAATGCCACAGAGAAGAAAGGAGGATTCTGTGGGTTCTGTGGGGGCATAGAACCTGCCACGAACAATGGAAAACCCCAGACCCTTCGAAGGGCTCTTACGTTGCTCTGCAAAGGTCAAACTTGTGGCAGCTCTGGATGTGGTACATCAAGTCTCCTCCATTGAGAAATTCCATCACGAAAAAGAGGTTTTCCTGAGGAAAAACAAAAACAGTCCCAATTTTTGGCTTAAAAAAAAAAAAAAAAAAAAGGAACACAAGCATTACTTTTTAAAGGGATGTAGGTGATTTCACAGGAGCCAATTCTGTCTTCAGATCACTTATAAAAAGATAAAATTCATTTAGATGATCAGTAGCATTTCTATACCCCCAGAAGCCTGGGAGCCCGTGGAACGCATGCTGGGGGGCACCTATGCTGGGACTCAGCAGATGGGGCACAGTACGACTGAGGGTCCCACTGGACCTGTCTGCCCAGTGGGATGGTGTTGGGCCTGTTTGAGTGCTGATGGTATACCTATGAAACTGACAGTGTGTAGGAGAGTAAACACACCTTGCGGCTCTGCCTCCGGGGGCAGGGAGAAAGCATGCATTCATTCAACACTCAGTAAAGAGTTCTGAACGCAATTTGCAGGCGTGGCCTTGTGGGAGGACTGAGTGTGAGATGCTCATTGCTGCCTCATCCATGAGACACAGTCCTGCCTTCAGGGTGCTTACAATCAAATATAGCCTTTTTCTTTCCAGTGCAGTCTTTGCTTGGGGCAAGCCCCAGCTTAACAGTGTGTTGCCCCCAGTAGAAGACTTCATTTGTGTTTTTAGAGCTGGGGGTGGGGGGTTGGGGGAAGAGCTTGGGTGGCAGCGTCGAAGGCAAGGCTGAGATCTTCAGGGTGTGGTCAGAGTTTTAGACGTGGGCACCATTCCAGGAAGCCCGAGCTCCTCCTACTGCATGAGACAATGTTTTTGATGACTGTATTCAGAGCACTCGGCTCTGATTCTTTAGAGTGCCCATGAACCACAGAATTAGTAATCCATAAAGTGTGGAGACATGTGTCATGTCTGTGCATAAATTTGCACCTGAAAAACCTCACCTGGTTGATTTTTTAACAGAATTAACCTTTAAGTTTTGATGTGAAACTAACTGGGGCTTCAGGGCATGCCAGGTGATGGTAGAAACAGCATTCTGGTCTGACAGCGACATATATTGCCTGTTATACATGCCACAGAACCGGGGAAACCCAGTATTGTGGCAATTATCTCAACAATTCAGGCAAAAAGTAAGCGTTATCTTCCTGTTTTTTTTTTCCCCCTCCAAAGTTGACCTTAGATGGGAGGTCCCTGGTACCCCCTCGTCCTCTTGTGGGCAGGCCAAAGTCCTCTGCTGACATAAATCCAAACACTGATACTCCAAACATTCTTGGAGATTGATCATTTGCCTCATTTGCACACACCTGCTTTCTCATTAGCACATCTTCCCTCAAGCTCTTCTTGTCATACGTACCATATGAATAGCTCCTAATCTTTACCTTTTTACCCAAAACTGTGATGGCTTGTATACATAGAGAGGGATCGCCTACGTATTCAGGAGAATGGAAGGTATAAAAACTTAAAGTGAGACCATTTATTACAGTGCTCAGATGAAAGATTCCCTTTAATTGTTAGGATGTTTACAACTTTCTATAAAGTCTGAAACTTCAGGATCTACAAATTGTCAGGTAGGACTTGGAGAAAGTGGGGGAAAGCAACTCGAGGGAAAAGGACATCACTTGTACACACCCCCGGCAGGGCAGTCCCCTGAGTTCTCACGTCTAACTCAGACTCTCACCCTTGGTGGGAGTTTGGGGGCTGAATGTGAGCATCGACAGAGAGTCAGTTTACAGTGGGGCTCAGTCAATTTAGTACCATGGGCATTCCAGGAAGCTCACGCTGATGTAGTGGTTACTAATTAAACAGTAATGGAGATTTATAGCATGCTGCATGTCACATTTAATCCCACTCAAAGACATTATGGCTTCACAATAAATCTCCCAAAAACAATCTGTTCTAGTTCTATCTTTATATGAAGCTGGGGGCACCAAACAAAGCCCATTGGTCGTTTTTGGCTACTAATGATGGCATTTGGCTTCAATTTAAGCCTTTGGTTTGGGTGAATATCATTGAAAACATGGACTTTTTAAAGGGGGATAAGGGCGGTCCATGCTTGGAAGTCCAGCTTGCGTGGACAGGATGGAGAAACTTGTTCTTCCTGGAGAAGGTGTTGTTTTGAGGACCTTTGCCCTCTTCTAGGGGTTCTGATAGCTGTTTGGAAGTTTCAAGGAACCACTCATCAAGGGAACTGTTAGGTTCACTCTGGTCCCAATGAGATAACTCTGTGATGAAATTAGCATGAATGAATGTACATACAAACCATGCAGTTATGGAATTTGAATTTTGAGTATCACATTTTGAAGTACGGATAAACCTTTTCAAAGTTGAATCTCAAATTCTATTCATAAAATTTAAATATAAATATTAGACTCAACTTTTCATAAATGGCTGGAAAGGGAGTGCTCGGAGAGGAAGGTGACCTGCAGCTGACCTGGAACTCTGCAGGAGCACTATAAAAAAAAAAAAGTCTGCCCACTGGAGAAACTCCAGAAGTCAACTCAGGGTAATTGTTAAAACCATGGTCTTTGCTCTCATTCAGACCCGAAATCAGAACTTGGAGAAGTTACTTAGCCTCTCCTGAGCCTAATAGTCTTCATTTGTGAAATTTAGGGAATAATATTCCCACCTCATAGGAGTGTTGTTGAGCATTACATGAGATTATATATGTGGAAAGCTTGCTCAGGGTTGGCACTCAGCATGCACATGATAACTGGTGCTGTTGTATTAATAATTATAGGGAACTATTTATTTATTTATTTATTTTAAAAAACAATATATTTTATTGATTTTTCACAGAGAGGAAGAGAGAGGGATAGAGAGTTAGAAACATCGATGAAAGAGAATCATCGATTAGTTGCCTCTTGCACATCCCTACTGGGGATGTGCCTTCAACCAAGGTACATACATGCCCTTGGTACATACGGGACCTTTCAGTCCCCAAGCCAGCGCTCTATCCAGTGAGCCAAACCGGTTTCGGCTATAGGGAACAATTTAAAAGCCAGTAAAAATAAAAAAAATAAAAAATATAGCAGCTCTTCCCAGAGGAAGGAACTGAACAGTCCTCTAGCTCTTGACACAAAGAAGAAAATAGGGCCTTGGCTCTTCTCCAGTCTGTTCTTCCTGTTCTGGTCCAGCTGAGAGAAAATGCAGACCAGCCTCGAGAGGGGAGCATGACCTCCTTAGGCTGTGACCTTATTTCATTGGCGTGCTAGTAGACCTCTCTTCTTTAGACCTGATAATGCTTTAACTGATGCAAATGATTCTTTGGGGCAATGAAAGTTGACATTGTAATGGTGTTGGGGGATTGGATGCTCCATATCTGCCTGAGACTTAGAATTTGTCAACAATGCTGGCACAACATTTGTGGAGTGGAAACTCTCAATTCTTATCTGTCACTTACTAGCCTATAGCCAGGTAAATAACTCCATCCCTGAGCCTCAGCCTCAGTCTCTGAAAAATGAGAAGTATCAGCTACATTTCCCTTTACTAAACACTCCCTGATTTTCACCATTTATATTTCACATTCATTTCCACTCCCCACCCCCTCCATTTTTCTTGGGGGGGAAGAGGTGAAATTAATAAACTGTGACTCTTGAGTACATTATAAGATTAATGTAACATTTCTCAAAATATACAATATATATTGGTAAAAAGATGTTATGCTTGCAAAATTATTAAGAGAAGTCTGTGTCTAGAAGCAATGCATATTTGAAGTAAAATTAAAGAAATAGTGGTGAGTCTTTCCTTTGAACCTTTCTCAAAGGAGGAAAGCTTTATGGCTGGGTTGATGGCCCACCATAACACCCCAAATGAGGTAAAAAGTAGAGGTCAGAGGACTTCCTCCTATTTAAGTAGTCTTCTGGTTATGCTAATAGAGATTGGTTATTCATTGGGGAAAAATTCTTCTGTGTTCTAAGGGTCCTGACTGCTTTAACATTTGAATTAATCCCATAATAGGCCAATGGCTGGAAAGAAGATTGGTATAACAGATTGTGGTCAACAAGAGTAGCAGGAGACTGACTTTGTTTCTGAATCTTGTGTTTTATCCTTTTAGAAAGAATACCAGCCAAATTGCCTGCTTCCTGTCTCAAAATAGATCACGGGGCTGGGGTCAGGGCTACCCAAGCTGTGTACTGGAAGAAGTGCCCAGGTGGGGGTGAATTTGCATCTGGCCAGCACTCCTGGTGGGTACACTGGATGCTGGGCTCACCCAAAAGTCCCACTGGCACACTTACACACCTATGTTAGTTTGGTCACGACAGCACTCAGTTTCTTAGGTATGTTTGTAAGTTAGAAGGCTGGAGCAATTCTGGATCTGGAGGACTTTATTTCTTCTAAATTAAGCTATAAATTAGAACAGGTTTCTTGCCTTAGTCATAAGGAATGGACCACTAAAAATCTTAACAGATAGTCATATATGTACTTTTTATATCTAAATGTAGTGTGTGTGTGTGTGTGTGTGTGTGTGTGTGTGTGTGTGTGTGAGAGAGAGAGAGAGAGAGAGAGAGAGAGAGAGAGAGAGAGAGGCTTGGTAGACCAACAAACACATTCATTAGGGCCTGTTTATATTTCTACGGTAAACTCTCATTAGTAAAATTCACTGCCTTCAAATAGATTCATTAGTATATATCAGAAATAATGTGCTCAAGTTTTTAGAAGTTGGTATCTTACTAAAGGAACTCAGAGGAACTCAGGCTCAGTTGTATTTACTGGCTTAATTGTCCCATGGCGTCTCCTTGCAGTACTTTCCTTCATAACAGAAGTACAAACAAGACTCCATTTCATGAATTTTTAAACTGTTTTCCCTGACATGATTAGGTCTCTAATGAGAGGCAATGTAACAGTTAGGCCTATGGACTTCACCACCAAGCTGCCCTAGTTTAAATCCTGACTCCCTATTCATAGCTCTTTGACCTTTGGAGTATTGCTCACCTTCCTTAGAGGGGCCACCAGATTCTCCTTATCTATAAAATGGAGATAATAATAATAATAATACCTACTTCATAAGGTTGCTGTGAATATTAAATGCCCTAAAAGGTGTATTGTGCCTAGAA